CTTGTTACCTAATTTCAATAGATTTATATAACCACAAAGATTTATCTAGTGTTTGCACTATCTGATTTGTTAGTTTGCATTTCTCTATATAATGCTATACTTACACAGATGCCCCATGACCTGCCAGTCATGCTGGTGTGACCGCCATTACAGGTATTCTAACTCAATTATTAGTAACAATTGCTATAATATAAATATTATATAGGTGATTATTTAAACTTTCTCTATTAATAAAATTTGAACATCCAACCTATTATTTGAAGAGTTAACAACCTGACCACTTCACTAGGTCACTACACCCCTGAAGCCCAATTTTTGCAATTAAGTTATTAAATATTAAAGAATAAAAATAATAAAACAAACTAGCAATGCTAATAGGAAATATAAAGTACTTTGGCAATTATGTTTTTTTTCTTATTATATATGAAGATTAGCAATATGCTTTTCTAATTGTTAATTTAAAATAAATATATAAACTTAAAATTTGTAACTTATATATATGACTTACACAAAATCTTGTATATAGATTATAATAAAAAAATATATGTAAATTAGTCTTTTAAGTTATCACTGCTTTAGACTTATCATATTATATTATAATACAATAAGTTTAGAGCACTAATAATATAAAAGATTTATATACAGGTTTCTTTTTATTATGATTCATACATATTACTTTTAATCTGAACATGTTTATAAACTTTTGAACTGAACTTGAACTAAACATAAATTAGCTCTAAAAGTTTAAAATCAAACTAAACTTGAATACTCTTTAAAAAATTGTTTGGTTCAGATTCAGTTTGATATTTGAACTGAACCTGAACTTGATTAAAGTTTGGGTTCATTAGAGCACTACTTTATATTTCTATTAAGATTCAAGTTTTAGTAAAAAGGTAATGAATAAATTTTATTAAAGTGAAAGTATTAATATAAAAATAATATAGTTATTAATATATATTTAAGAGTCAAAAAATGAGACATAGTAAAACAGGTTTAAAACAAGCAAAAATTACTAAAAAAAAAAAAGAAATTAAAACACTTATGAAAAATTGGCAATTGTTACATATCTTGAAAAAAATCTTATAACTAGTAAATAAAACACTGCAGCAAGGTTTAATATAACTTCAAAACAACTGTAAGAATAGATAAAAAAAAAACAAAATTAAAAGGTAATTAACTTCTATTAGATGGTTAAATATTGGTAAATGATCTAAATATTCACTTTTAGAAGATAACTTAAAATCTAAGTTAAATCTCTATATTTATAACAAAAGATTATATCTTATTATATAGTTAAAATTAAGATTAGTCAACTTGTAAAGCAATTATGTTTTCTTTTACTTTATCTAATGATCAATAAATGCAAATAGAATAACAAGTATATTGATGATTTTATTTGTTATAATAATTTTAGCAATCACCATCATACTATTGTAGCACAAAAATTATCAGAAGACTTAGAATCTAAAAGAGATGAATTCTTGAGTAATATATTATATTATCACATGTGCTACAATTATTTTTTTGCACTTATTGGTAATATGAATAAAATTTTACTAGCATTCAATATGTCTAACAATTATATACTTAAGAAAACTGATGTCTATACTGTTGGTATTTGTACAATTGGTTATGAAAAATTAAATTTTACAGTTGTTTTAAGTTGCTTAGCAGACAAAACTAAGCTTCTCTCTATGATACTTTTTAAGTTAGTAAATGTACTATGACAAGCATTTCCAAGAGGCATTGTTGTATAAGCAAATTTAAGTGAATATATGAATAATGACAAAATGATTTTTTGGATTGAAAATATATAAAACTATTATGCTTTTTTGTTTATCAATTCTTATTCATTATTAGTTCTAGATGCATTTAGTAGTCATTTTACAAACTTAGTTAAAACTGATTTAATGAAAAAAACACTAACATGGCAGTTATTTCAGAAGAACTTACTAAGAAATTGCAACTATTAGATATATATATTAATAAGTTTTTTAAAGATAAAATAAATAAAACTTTTATATAACAAACTAATGAATTTGAAAGAAAATTTTCAAGAGCTTATAATACTTTTTTTACTGAATTATTATAAAATTTTAAAATTTTAAATTAGTTATATTTAAAATTTATTTTTATATATATTTTACTTAAAAAAAATTACATAAAATTATGAAAATATTATTTAATTAGTGAATTATATAATAAGATCCTATATAAACTTGATTTTACATATTTTTTTTTTATTTTTTTAACTAAATTTTATACCTCAATATCTTATAAATTAAACATTAATTTTTTAAAGATGAATAAAAATAATATTTTTGTACTTGCATAACTATCATTTATAAATTTTTAATTATATATTTATTTAAGTATACAAATTCTATCTTGATTAGATGAGCAAAAAAATTAAAAAACTAACTCATACAGGCTGTATCTAATGACCTGCTTATAATTTGATGACTGAATAGGTAATAAGAGCATAGAACCAAGTTGATCTCACCCTTATTAAAAGTTTGTTCAAGTGTTGTGACATCTCTATTATTCAAGATAGAACTGAGAAAGATTTAATATTTAATTATAACTGAGTTAATAACTCAGAGGCTTATAATAGAAATAGTGAATATATATATACTAATAAGAATAATGCAAGTAATAGTGAAAATATTGTTGACTTGACCCAAAATGATACTAGTAATAATAATAATAGTAGTAATAATATTGATGATTATAGTGATAATGATAATGATGATGAAAATGACAATAGTGATGATAATAATAATAAAGATGATTGTAATAGTTTAAGTAAAAATAAAGATAAAAATAAACATAATAAAGACTATAAAAATTGTAATAAAGTTATATATTATGATGATGAGATAGCTGAATACATTAATTTATAAGATTAAAAAATTTTTTAGCTTGTAATTTTAGTAATAGGTTTTAATTACAGAATAGCAGAGAATATTATATAGTCTAACACATAAATAATCAATTTTAACAATTTATTAAAATAATATGCTAATATTAAATATTTGTTGGTAATTTGTTTACAGTGAACAATTATAAAAAGATTTAACAATTTATTGGATAAATTGCTATATTATAGGTATATATAAATTTGATTTAAATAAAAAATTTAATTTTTTCTTAACAACAATTTCAATAATGCAATGATGATACTAGCATTCAACTTGATCAGCAGCACTAATTTTGCAGTAAGTCAAATAAACTTCTAAAAGCTATTATAAAGAAAATCTATAAAAAATAAAAGCATTAGAAATTGAACTTGTTAATTTATAGGTGTTAGAAAATAGAGTCTGTTACATATAAATTTTCAAATTATTTATTTGCATTGAAACTTTATACACTATGATTATAAGACACAAAGAAACCTATAGTATAATATATAAATATAAAGAATCATTGCAGATTTAATGGTTTATTAAACTTTAAACTAGGAAGAATTAGTATTGAACAATGTTGTCAGGTTTAAATTGTTAAATTTTGTTGGAATTTTGAAAATACTTATTGTTATTCCTTAAATTGTAACATAGGCAAATTTGCTTGCATTAATTTTTTTAAAATTAATTTTTATAATAAAATTTTAATAATAATTTTAGCAATATACTTTTTAAGCAAAAAATATTTTTAAAAACCTATTTTATAAACTTTGTTAAGAAACTTCTTTAATTTTATTAAAAAACTTTTAAGCAATTAAAATTTAAAAGTTGTGTAACATTAGGGTTTACTATTAAAATATTTTTCAAGTTTTCTAAAATTTTATATATTTCTGAAACTAAAAAATTTTTTGCTCTTAAAACAAGTATTAATTTTTATATATAAATTACTAAACTTGTAATAATTAAAATTGTAATCTTTTATATAAACTAAAAAGTTGTATTAA